GGGTTTAGGGTTTAGGGTTTAGGGCTTTAGGGTTTAGGGTTTGGGGTTTTAGGGTGTTAGGGTTTAGGGTTTAGGAGTTTCGGGTTTAGGGTTTAGGGAGTTCAGTAGGGTTTAGGGTTTAGGGGGGGACTCCAGTAGGTGTCTATAAAAGTTTAAGGCTTAGGGCTTATAAGGCTTAGATATGCGGGTCCTGAATTTCAAGCCCCTAAACCTATCATGGCAAAGCCCTGAACTGATAGGCTCTCTTCCCCACCAGCATACTAGTGGTATGCTCACATTGTATCCGTTATCCGAACCCCAATAAACTAGCAGTGTTTCGAATTATCAGTCTCAATGGGTTGGGGCTGAAGCCATCATATTATGAGGCTTCATCGTTAGCCCTAAACCCGCACTGAACCCATCACCCCTCAACCCTAAAATCTCTTGTTTTGAAGCAGGGGTCTACCTCCCAAACCCCAAATCCCAAAATCGAAAATCCCAAACCGCCTCATTGCCAACCTCTAAATCCCAAACTTAGACCCTGAAGACGGAGCTCATGGCCGCAACCGAGCTGCTCTTTCTCGAACTCGCGGAAGCGCAAGGAGTAGAGCGACATGCACCGAAAAACACCTCACTTCCACAGCTTCGAGGGAGGCAAGGCTAGCAATAACAGCAAGAACCACAGCTTTTCAACATAACCAGGATGCTGATAGCGATAGTAAGAATATTCATAACGTTAATCAGGAGCGATACTACCAGGTGCATTCGTTGCTCTGATTCAATTGGAGTGAAGTGCACGACAAAAAAAAAGGCAAAAGGGTACTGCTGGGAGAGCGAGGCACGTCTGAAGGCGGAGCGCGGTGCTTGTCGCTGCACTTGTGACATTGCGCTATACTCGCCCCACCCCCTGCGACAAAACTCCCCGCGCTGAGTGGACAATCGTCCGTCTCAGCATGGTCCGAGTCTTGAGCCCAGATGCTGCGAAGATCAGGCATATCAGGCTCAGGTCGCCACTGTTGCGGTCTCAGCCTAAGCAATGACAATAGGGCAATAGGCGTTTGGGTAGTAGACTTAAGGCCCCTACGTTAGATTAGTTGGGACTGCTGGTTCGAACCGACGTGTCTGAGTCTGCCAGTTGCCTTGCAGTCCACACGTGCTCCCCAAGCAACTTTATCCAGAGCTCCAGAGCAGATGTTGCCTTCGAGACCTTAAACCCCTAGCCCTAAACTCCCCAAATCCATAAAACCTTTTCTTGAACCCAGGCTGTGATCATCAGCTGGACACACGTAAACCCTAAACCTTCTGAAACCCAAGTCCGAATCCCAAAGAGTGCCCTGCCAGCCTTCCCAAAACCCTTTTTCACACCTGGACTACGCATATGCCAGGAACCAAGGCGCCGACTGTGCTGTGGACCCAAAACCCTAATTAAACCCTAAACCCTGCTGCGATGAGGTGCGCCAGCCTTCCCAGACCTGCGCGGCTCCCATTCCTGGGTTGTCGTCAAGGATATACGGGTAGTTCTCCAAATTCGGGTCCCAATTTAAGTCCCAAAAAATCCAAAACCGGGAATCTGATTTAGAGAGCTGCACATATGGTAAATAATAGGGTTTCCTTATTACAGTAACGTATTCTTAAAATGTCTTAACAGCAACCCAGATTCATGCTGCTGCGGCTGCTGCTGTTTCTTGGCAGGGCCTGCGACCACAGACCGAGTCTCTCTCAACAAGCAGATGCTTCCGGAGCCAAGGCTTTCAAGCGTGCCTTTGGAGCGGAACTCCCGTCCGTCATGGTCACCTGAGGTAGCTGACGGGTACAGTGCCATCAAATTGCCCCAAAGCCTACTCCTAGAGCCCTGAATCCTGAACTCTTAAGCGATAAACTCCGTGTCCTAAAACCCGAAAGTCCATACCTGAAAAATCTACTAAAGCCCGAAGCCGTGTGCTGACAAAGCGGCATTCGCTCCAAGCTCTCATGACGGCATGACAAGCGCGCAGGCCGCTGGTATATACTCTGTAGATGGGGGGAACTTGTTCCTACAGGGTTGTTTGTGTCCTTGCTGGGTGCTGTCCGTAAGTATACGGTTTATTGTTTAGGATCTGGTGGTTTAGAGTTAATCAGGGTTTCGCGAGAGTCTTTCGTCTAAAGGGGTTTTATTTTTGTTCAACAGCATCCCCTGCTTTCTGAGTAGCACGCCGTGGTCTGCCCCTCCGCTGCTGCAGCTGATTGAAAGTGACATGTCATGAAGCAGCAGAGATGTGTGCCAGCACTGTTGCTCTGAAACGTAAATGCCTCGTGCTGCTTTGACATGGAGCACCAGCAATGACGTGACGGCATGAGGCACTGGCAATCAGCAAGCTCGTGGGGCAGCATCTTGGGCATGTCTGTCATGCTAAGACAATAGACCCTCCCTGAACCCTTTTGAGTCACGGGCTGGGGCCGGACCTCCCTGAACCCTGAACCCTAAATCCTTCTTCAGCTACAGGACTCAAGTCTAGCCTGACCACGACCTGCACTCATCAAAACTCTAAGCCCTAAACCCTTGAATTGGCAATCAGAAGCTGGGGTCATCCCGGGTTGGGCGCCCTCGCCAAACAAAAGGCCTCATCTCTTCCATGTGCCAGGTAATATGCCCAAACCGGTTTAAGGTTACCGACCCAGCCCAAAAAGTCATGGCATCCCAGTAAGACCTCCTTGACAAGGGCCGTATAGCACCCTAAATAATAGGATCCTGAATATAAGTACCCCAAAATAAGGTACCCCTAATTTTCGGAAACTCCCACAAGCTTCAAGCCGGGCCTTTTACTTTTTTGAAAGCCGAAACCAGATGGAGGCCTTCTTCTCTCCGCCTCTCTTTCAGATCTTGCTGACCTTTGGCCAGCAAAGGGTCCTTCGTTGTTCAGTCAAGTCCCTATGCCAGAAACCCCAAACCCCAACCAAGCCTAAACCCTATGCCGCAAAAGGTTTTATAATAGCCTCGCCCCACCTCCCCAAAAACAACAAAATATCAAGTTCAAATTTTGGAAACCGAAACCTAAGCCCCACAAGCCCTGACCCGAACCCTAAGCCCTAGACCCCCTGGCCCTAACCCCTGAACGCCCTGAATAGTAGCCCCAATAGGAACCCGAACCTAAAGCCCTAAGGGCTATAAACTTTAGCCTAAACCTGAACTCAACTTCTCTGTGTGTCTGATGGGCCCATCTGCAGATTTGGCCGTGGCGCGCATCTCCCGCGGCGATGCTTCTCCTGAGAGACAACCCTAAACCCTAAACCCTACCCTAAACCCGAAAAGAGGGGATCTGTAAATCTATAAGTGAAACCCTTTAAGGATCCATCCTTGAAGGGACCCTTAAAGGGATTATAGGGATTTGAACCATATAAACGGTTAGACAATTTCGACGAAATAGTAACTGTACTTTTTGATAGTCCTTCATGTAGTATCTATAAATGTACCGCAACACCCTGTTCTACTGATTAATGTAGACCCTCCATTAATAAACCCTCTCCCCTAAACAAGTGCTTGATCAAGGTCTAAATCTTCAGGCCCGAAAGCGAGCTTGTTTATGAATCAGGGGTCTGCATTACCCAACATGCTCCGACGACATAATGAAGTCGGGTTTATGAGTGCATACACGGCTCGCTGGGAAGGTGGTGTGTGTTTTGCGGGGAGTCCTGTTGGGGTGCAGGAGCAATGAAAGCCGCACTTCATGCACCAACCATCATAGTCGTACCAATTATATGAAGGTCGACTCATTCATACCATGAGCATGGTCTTGCTTTTGTACCTATGTATGGCCAGGTTGGCCCAGCATCTACGAAGAAAAGTTGCCTTCTCCACCTACCCGCCGCCTACCTGCACCGAATTCTGCTCCTGCAAGGCTGTTGGCTTAGGGTTTTAGGATTTCTCCCGCGTTGCATGACCGAGTCCTCTGGGCAGGGTCCCATCACTTACCCAGGCTTTGGCTTTGTTTAGGATTTAGGATTTTGGCGTTTAGGATGATTTTTTAGGGTATTCAGAGTCCAGGGCGAACCTATACCCTCCATTGTGTGTCCTTTTGCTAAAGTTTCATGGTCCTGGTCCTTCCATACAGGATCATGGTAAGCACACCGAGGAAATACAAATGAGGCTCCGCGGAGGGCTCAGGGTGAACATCTGAAGGACGAAACTACATTCCTCTCTGCCTTTCGGAATTCGGGACGGAGAATATCGCGACCATCGCACCCCCCAGCACATGCGTGGATCCTTTTCCCCTTCGTATCCGAGAAACGGGGGAGGGCACCAAAGAGCAGCAAAGCCCGCGGCTTTGCAAAGCATGGGAGGCGAGCAATATCTCTGCATGTCTGAAATGCTCATGATTCATGAGCGCAGCCCCTAAACCGGAAACACCAAAACATATCCAACTCAGATAACGAGGACCCTGCCACCTCAAAACGAGTGCAGGTCAAGCATCCAGGCCCGGTCGAGGATGCCCTGGCGGTTGCAGCACTTGCAGTGCTCGGTCTCCTTTTGCCAGCATCAGAAAGGTTTCCCCGGCAGCTTCCGACAGGGAACCCGCCGGGTCCGGTGCCGGGCAGTCGCGCAGCCGCGCCTCTGCCAGCTTTGCCAGCGCTGCCTGCGGACTCCGCCGACTTTGAAGATTCTGCGCCCATGCTCTTCGCTCGAGACTCAGGGGCCGCATGCATCTTGGCAGCAACATGTTGAGGCGAGCCAGTCACAGTGGCACAGCGCTTCTCGAGCTGTCGTGCTGCAGCCGGCAATGACCGGGGATTCTGTTCGGAGCCGACGGGCGAAACATGTCCGCCAGATTCCACGCTTCGGGCAGTCTTCGACTCCTCGGCAAGAGGAAGAGATGCAACATCTGCCTTTCAAGCTTGTTCGCGGTTGCATGTGTGCAGCAAAGTCACAATGGGTCGCTTGGCGAAGGGATACGAGTACACAGTTGCACTGACCACCTCCCGCAGGTCGTGTCCAAGGATCTTCCCGGATCCCAGCCCAAATCAACATGAAGCCGATTCGATTCGGATGACTCGGTCTCTCATTCTGCACAACCAATATTACATACACAGATAGTTTATCTATCTATCTATCTATCTATATATATATATATATGCATTTTTATTTGCACATTTATTGTCATGACACATGCCTATCATGTTTCCGAGCATGCTGTGCTCGAGCACTCGGCTTGTCCTTCGCATGCTGGCACAATCATGCATTCCAACTTCGTGTAGCGGCTACTAAAGAATCATGGCAAGAGGGTGCGGCAGCACGTATGTGAGTATGTAAGTATGTATGTAAGTATGTATGTGTGTATGCATGCATGTATGTATGTATGTATGTATGTATGTATGTATGTATGTATGTATGTATGTATGTATGTACGTGTGTGTAAGTTTCTGGATATGTATATATATATATATATATACACATAGCTGCGGCCTGCCAAGAAAAGACATATACAAGTACACGCACACAGACATCTCTCTCTCTCTCTGTCTATCTATAGATAACATTATATGCATGTACAGAGAGAGAGAGAGAGAGAGATATATATATACATATATATATATATATATGCATATCAATGCGCAAACCTATCTATCTCTGTTCTTTATCTGTATCTGTGCATATGTATGCTTCCTTGCTTTTGTGTGACTTTGCTTTGCTAAGGGGGTTCGGGTCAGAGGCAGTCCCCCTAACCCGCCGAAGCACATCCCCATCCACCCTATTGGGAGAGAGGGCTCGGCTGTAGTGTTGAGTGGCTCTCTCTCTCTCTCTGTCTCGATCTCTCCCCGCTGTCTCTCTCTCAACCCTACTGCTCCATGGCCCATGGCTGGGTGGCCCGGCTCGAGTTCGGCCAGACGGGAAGCGGGGCTCCCTGGGAGGCACGCTGAAGGTCGACAGCTCCGGCTCTGGCGTCTCCGCCCTGACTTAGGGTTTAGGGTTTAGTATCCGCCCTGGCTGGGTGATCGGTTCGAGGTTTCGGCGCTCGCAGCTCGGACACTAAGGAGGTTCAGGATTGAGGGTTGAGAGGCTTACGCTCTCGCAATGAGGGGTAGTCAGGCGAATTATCAAACGAACATTTTCAGGTTCAGGGACCTAGGATTTTGCGGTTTCGGCTCCCGCACCCAGCCTCACCAGACAAGGTGTGCGGGTTTGTGGCATTTGGGCTGGAGGATTTCGGGTTCAGGTCTAGGATGTAGGGTTCGGCTTTGTACCTCAAGACACCTTTTTTTGTCATTGATTCGGACCGGGATGCTTCTAGACCACAACCCCCTGCAGCTACATTTCCCTAGCGGATTCAAGCAGACATGAGGCTCAAGAAGCCTGGCAACATGCACATGCAGTTAACAAAAGCGAGCAGCCGCAGTAGCAGCTGCAATATGAGGGTGATATGGACTCCATACTAGAACGGTGCATTCCTCGGAACTTCTACACTGGGGACCCCTAGTATAGGCTGACACTCAACACCAGGAGACTTCTGCTACGGACCCTAAAGCAAGATACGCCTAACCCCAAGTCTCTAAAAGATCCCAGAATCCGAAATCACTCGGCACCCTTCAGTACCTAAACCCAAAACCCTAAACCCAGCCTTCAGCACCTAACAGCTGACCTACACCCTGAACCCTAAACCCACCTCTGCAACGATGAAGTTGAAGAGTTTGTTCTCAAGGCTCCAGACATTGCGGCCAGGGTCGTCCTGCGAGCAGCCACGTTCGTCTTGGTGGACCTTCTTTGAGCCTCGAAGATTGAACTGTAAAGGAGCCTAAACTCTAACTCTTATGTAGCCAAACTCGCTTTCCCTTTTTGCAACTGGCTTGCAACGTCAACTCGCTTTCCCTAAACCCTAATCTTAATTCCCTAAACCATGTTCCTGCGGATCCAGTCGCTGCCAGTGCCTTCCGGTGTAGAGCGGCCACCTCTGCAGGCAACAAGGTTCTGGATGAGGATACCTGCTGTGTGTGGGATAGACTCCTGGCAAAACGGTTTGATAGATAGACCCATCAAGAGGGAGGTTGGGATATCCTACAACTTTAGTTGACACAACAACAGGGAGAAGCGATCCAGAAGTTCATGTTCGGATGCTTGTCGGCTCCTCACAAGACTCACGAGTGCCATCGTGAAATGAAACAGCCCCCAGAAACGCCCCGCCCGAAGCTTCGCAGATCGGTTCTAGCTGCGGCCTTCGCTTCGACTTCCGCTGCCGGTCCTTCCCCAAAGAGGGTTTATCTTGGGTACTGCCCCCACACAGTAACAGCCTACAATAAGCGTACTATGAAGGGTCTAATGTCTATGTTATGAATATTCTTGAACTGTTACTGAGTGGGGGCAGTATCTAAGGTTTATCGCTTAGGACACACCCCTTGAAGGGAGGGCTATGAGATGCAGAATGCAGAAATCGAGCATGTTTTAGGCCCCAGCGCGACTCGGAACAGATCGGAGGCGCAGCCGTAAATCGTTGATTTGCTGCGCTGCTCGGATAATGCAGGAGCCTGAATAATTAGAACAGGGTTTTGGGCTCCGGACCCCTAACAGTAATATTGGTAATTCTTTAGGCTTCCTATTGTTCCCTAACGCGCTGCGGGCTTCAAGGCCTGAAGGACTCTTTCAACACCCCTTTGCCCCCTCGGAAAGATCCTTGAGCTTGTGTGCCAGTTTGGGCCACTAGCTTAGGGTTCCTACTGCATCATGCCAGTTACCCGGGGATGAGAAAAACCTCGTGCTCTTCATTGTTGCCCGCTACTAATCATAGCTTCTACTATCTCTGCCACATGACACATTGCCACTACAACACAATGATGGCGCCCGGTGCGAAAACCTACATTCCCTGAGCCGCAGTCCTGGTGAAGCTCGTGTAGCAGCGAGACTCCTCGCAATGAAGATCTCGAAGATTAGGGCTGACACGGGTGGGGCCTCCTTACATTTGAAGTACCTTGTCTGTGGGCCTTCAAAACAAGGATCCTACCATCGGGGGTCCATCCTATAGGTGCTAAATGGTTGCAAGAGGGGTTTGTGCTGTGCACTACCAACGTACATGTAGGAGAGGCAAGAAAGTATGTGCACACACACACACACACATATTTAAATACATGCTGATGAAGCCTTCCAAATCAAGATGATACCCTAAGATAAGCCTCCAAAAAGCCTATTAAAATTCTTCAGGCTCCTATACTGAGCCCTTTTCTTCGAACCCATATAGAATCCTTGTATGACCTATTCTTCTAAACGATCATGCCCCTTTATCATTGACGCGCGCCAAGTCAGAGTCACAGCAACTCCCAAGCCCAAACCCGAAACCCGAAACCCTAAAGCCGATATCCCAAGAAAACGCAAACAACCTCAAACCCTGCGCGGATTCATGCCTGTGAGCCCGGGCGTGGCAAAGTGCGATCAGCGTTGCAGCCTCAAGCAACGTAGCACAAGTACTGCTAGGTTTAGGACTTTTTGTGCCTCCCACCCAGCTATGATGAGCCCACATTGCGGGGCTACTGCTTGGGTTTGAAGTTGAGGTCTTTAGGGTTTCAAGGTGGCTGGGTTTGGTGGTGTTCGTTGTTTGGGGTGTTGTAAGACAAGTGCTTCACGCCCATCCCTATACATCTTGTGGTCCTGTCAAAGGCTGTGGCGGGGTTAGGAGTCTGGTATATGCCAGTTATGGGTTTTGGCACTTGACCTATGCGTAGATAATATAGGTTTCACATGTAACCTTACAATGGAAACTCCAAATATCTCTAGATAAACCCTTCAAGAGGGCTTAACCCTATATATACATATATATATGTAAAAATAAATAAATATATATATATATATACAAATATATATATATATATGTATGTATGTATGTATGTATGTATGTATGTATGCATGTATGTATATATGTATATACACACACAAACACGCTTAAATGCGTGCTTGAGGGAACGAACCCCCGTCCCAAACCCAAACTCCTATCTCAGAGGTTTCTTCGCGCCTGCGCCTGGATAACCAAACGTCACCCGAGAGTTGCGGCCTGAGGCGGGTGTATGCGCAGGGCTTAGGCTTTAGGGTTTCGCAAAAAAGAACCTACTATTTAGGCATCTACGGCTAGGGTCTGCAACAATTCGGGTCACTGATTTTCTGAAACTCCTCTGAACCTTCCAATTGCCCAGGTATCCCAATGTATACTTTGATAAACCTTCATTAACGATCATTCCAAAAGAAGCATTTTCGGATCCCCTCCACTCATCTCACGAGATATCCCCAATCAAAAGAAATTCGAAGATCAGGGTGCTCATGTTTCCTGCTGGCACAAACAAGCTGTCGACTTCTGCGCTGCCTTGTGTGCTGGCCTGAACCGCATCACCGTCGTCTTCATCCTGCTGGAAAGCAAGTAGTAGCGCAAGTAGTAGTAGTAGTAGTAGTAGTAGTAGTAGTAGCAGTAGCAGTAGCAGTAGTAGTAGTCGTAGTAGTAGTAGTAGTAGTAGTAGTAGTAATAATAGAAGTGGTGGTAGTAGCAGCAGTAGCAGTAGCAGTAGCAGTAGCAGTAGCAGTAGCGGTAGCAGTAGCAGTAGCAGTAGCAGTAGGAGTAGAAGTAGGAGTGGGAGTAGTAGTAGTAGTAGTAGTAGTAGTAGTAGTAGTAGCAGTAGCAGTAGCAGTAGCAGTAGCGGTAGCAAGTAGTCGTCGTCGTAGTAGTCGCAGCAAAAGAAGTCGTAGAAGTAGAACAAGACGTCACCGTAACAGTCGTCGTCGTAGCAGTCGTAGAAGCTAGTCGTAGCAGTCGTAGCGGTAGTAGCACTCGTGGTGATAGTGGTATCGGTAGTGGCTTTGGTAGTGGTAGTCATGGTAGTCGTCGTCGTAGTGGTAGTAGCATCAGGGGCGGCAGTAGCAGAAGCAGCAACAACCAAAGGCTCGAAATGCCGATTGGCTCTGTATCGCTAGCTCGCATTAACTAGCGGAAAGCAGTGTCCTGAAGCGGGGGTGCTGTGCTGAATGTGGGCCTGCTTCCGCTCATCGCATCCTCAAGCACCTACGGGACGGTCTGAGCGAGATGGTGATGCTTTGCCATAGCTGTCATTCTGCGATCGCTTGCATAACGCCAATTTATCAATCGACGTCATCCGTTTTCACAGCGTGCCATCATCATAATGCTGGTCGTGTCGTGGTACATTGCGTACCTTTAAATGCGACATATTTCTACTGGGGCCACGCACCCACAGAAAATGAAGAGAAGACACATCACCGTCGGCACAGACACTTCGCTGCCAAGCTCAGCCTTGGGATCGTGCACTTCTGGTCTCTGGCAGTCGAGCTCATCCTGACCCAGCTTTCCCGCCGCGGCCGTCGGAGCACGAAGTGGGGTAGATAAAGCTGATGCAGGCCGTGGTCCATGTCGGACTGTTCATCTAAAGCACAAACCTTGAAATCAAACAACAGTCCAAGCCCGCCAGTCAGCAGCGCGGAGAGGCTAGATACTTAACGGCTCCACGCCAGTCCACTCGTGCGTCATCCCCGAAATCCGTGAACCGGCAAGCCTACAGAGTCTGCAGGTCCTCCACACCACCAAATTTTGTCCTGACATATCAGGCAAAACGAGATCATCTAGAATCTAGGGGCTTACTAATGAGAAACAATGATTTTACGATGATTAAGCAGGAACCATAAGGGGATACGGATACCATGAAGAAGTACTGGTGCCCTAATGCCTAAAACCAACTGCCCTTCCCTAACTCATGTTCGCGTCAGGGCGCACACTCTCCACGACGATGGCTTCTTCTATGGCCTCCTCCATGCGAGCTTTGGGTTTGGGGTTCATTTTTGACGCTCACTCTCGGACAATACCGGGCAGGGCCTGGAGACAAAAAAACTGGTAGTACACCACGCTGTCAAGTGAGTTTTCGGCTTTCGGGCTTATTATGGTTTTATGGTTTCGGCGTTCGCTCTCAGACATTCCAGGCGAGACTCTTGGCGTTTCAGCGTTAAGCGCTTCGTCTTGCTTGTCCTAGGTCCAATTGGAAACGCATCTTGGCCTCCGCATGCTGTTGACAAGGAGGCGGCCACTTGCTGTCATGTTGACGTTTGTGTACTTCAGTTCTCCCTCTCAACCCTATCGGTCGCTGACTCAGTCGCTGCGGCTCGAATGCTCTGTCTGCGCAGACACATGGGGGTTTCCGAAAATAGCGGACCCCTAATACAGTACCCTAAATAGTGGGATCCATATTATAAGGACCCCAAAATAAGGTACCCCAAATAGTAGGATCCTTATAAGGACCCCAAAATAAGGTACCCCAAATAGTAGGATCTAATACAGTACCCCAAATGGTAGGATCCTTATTATAAGGACCTCAAAATAAGGTACCCCGTATGTTCGGAAACCCCCGCATGGGACATCGCAAGCTGCGTCCTCCGTTTCCTCTTCAGCGGCCTCTTGGTCTTCCTCTTCCGGTTCCTCCTGGTCTTCCTTTAGGGTTTATAGGGTTTAGGTTTAGGGTTTAGGGTTTAGGGTTTTTTTGCCTCCTACTTAGCAAGGACGAGCCCGCATTGCAGGGTATTAGGGTTTAGGGTTTAGGTTTAGGGCCTAGGGTTTAGGGTTTAGGGCCCGGATGGGGTTCTCGGAAAAGGACCGGACCCCCGTACATAGAGCCGACCTCTAAACTGCACCAGGTTCTACATTACCCATAGGCCCCATAGTAGTTCCTTTTTGGGATTACCTAATAGGGTCCTAAATATCAGCCACAAACAGGAACTACTATGGGGGCTACGGGTATGCACGTCTTACTATGGCAAACAATTTTGTTGGGCGCGGTTCGCCTCCTCCTCCTCTTCCTCTTCTGCTTCATCTTCGTCGTCCTCCATGTGCAACAGCAAACGTCTGTGTGCGCAACAGCTGAAGATAACAAGCTTACGAGCAAAACTTGACCTAGCCCTCTTGAAAGCTGCAAATAGAGTTGGCTGGGCCCTAAGCCCTAAACCCAACTCTAAACCCTAGCTTTTCCCAACAGACTTTTGTGAGATGTCGCGCAACTTCTAGTTGACTTGCAGCCTTGGGAGCCCATGCAAGAAGCATCCATCCAAATAAAGATAACAGCAGTACATGTTGTTTCTGTGGTGGTAATTTCTATCTTTATTGCTGTTGTTACCACTATTATTATTATTATTAGTAGTAG